CTCCCAGTGTTAGGATTACAGGCATGAGCTACCTGGACCATATTTGATCTTGAAAAATTAGACAAGCGTCTTGGCCTCAGAACTTTTTGTTTTGGTTCCATCTCTCAGTGCCTTCTTATAGTTCAAATAGGCCAATTTGAGTCTAAGCAGCATTCATGGTTCTCATGGAGTCCTGGAAGTTGTTTCAGAGTTCTTTGGTGTGCTTTTGGGGACAGTGTCTGGCTCTTGGTTATATGGCAGAAAAATAAAGGTGAATGTGAAATTGGCACATTGTCACCAGCAATAAAAAGCAACATTCTCTTTCTGAGAAAGGGGAGTGGATACTGGGTAGGCTCTTTTGATTGGTGTGTGACAGTCTTCTCCCAGTTCCTTAAGATCTTCTTATACTTGCATAGCTTCTGATTTCAGCTTAGGGTTTGGAGGGGGAAAGTGGGACGGTTGAAGGTAACGTATATTGAGAACTTAGCCGTGTGCTGGGCCTTGCTACATGCATTATCTCATATCTTTACACAGGTATCCTGGCTATCCTTATGTTACTGGGAAGGAAACTGAGGCTCAGAGCAGTCACCTAAAAGTCTCCCAAGGTCACACAGCTAGTAAGCGGTAAAGACTGGATTTCAGCCCAGGGTATCCTGACTCCACAGCCAGAGCTCTGCCGCGGCTCCCTACCCAGCCCTGCTGCTTCTGTGTTTTCCATCTTTTTTCCTTTAGCTTTAATGAAAACATTAAATGCGTGCTGTCAGTTTCTATCAGATTCTATATATCATCTCTTCACGGGCCTCGGTCACTACTTCATCGGGCACCCACAGGCGCAGTGCAGCCTTCGTTGAATCTGCACTTTCCTCCCTTTTTCCTGTAAGCATTGTGTTTAACTCTGTGTGCTGGCAGCAGAAACCAAAAGGGAAATGCAGAAAAAGCATCCAACGGTTTTCATAACGTAAACCAAATGTTGGTAGCGTGGGTGAGCTCTTGGGAGGAGAGGCGCTATATAAATCTGACAAATAAATAAATAACTGGTTCTTTAAATAAACTGGCACTGAAAAAGGCTTAATCTGTGACCTATTGAATTTAGGCTTATTGGGTAGTCAGTCCTCTTTGCTCACTGAATGTGAGTTCCTTACTCACAGACTATGTTGGGCAAATGGGTGGGGGTGGAAGGAAGGGAGGGAGGAGGTGAGAGGGAGGTTGAAGAGGTTTGTTGAGAACCAGACTGCTCCTGCTTTTGAAAATGATTGCCTGCCTTGGTAAATAAGAGGCATCTTTGTCATAGCTGTATTGTTGTATACAACACATTCTTAGATACTTCAAAAGGACTGTGGGGAAGGTTCAAATGAAGGTCAGTGAGTCAAGTTCGTAGAATGTATTTTAAGGGCAACAAGTAAATTATTTTACTCCTCTGCAAATAAAGGCCATTACCAGCAGCAAGCTCTCTGAATCTTTCTTCCAAAGATGTTGATTTTTGTGACGTCTGTCCTCCTGAGATCCCCCTTGCCATTTCCACTCTCAGAACAAACAATTGTGGTGTCTGTTTTGCACATCATGGGCCTCTCTATGCTTCGTGCTGAATGTTGTGCTGTGAGGTGGGGGTGAGGTTGCTGGCAGTGCCTATATGAAGTACCTTTTCCTGAGGAGGCCACAGTGGGGTGACTCTATATTCATTCTGGAAGGAGAGAAGTTGAGCTCTGGGCAGAAGTGGGCTGCTGGGGCCTGCCAGCTGCAGGGCTCTGGTTACAGGACCGAATGGCAGACGCTGTCTCAGAGCTATCAGAGGAACTGATTTGTGAAGGTCACCTTGGAAGGTGTTAGAATGGTGGCACAGGGAAAAAGGAAATGGAATGCCTTGTTACTGTTCCTCATTACCAGTCCTTCCAAGTAGCATGAAGTCTGGGCACTTTACTGAAGTAAGGCCGTACAAATACCTTCTTTCTTTCTGAATGAATTCACGGGGAACCTGAAGGGAATTGATGCTGCTGGTGCCAGTATTCTGAAAGTCAAGTGTAAGCTGAGTTGCAAATTTACACTTCTTCAAAAACCATAAAAGGCTTCTTTAAATGACAGGCACCTGATGAAGTTCTGCTGTGATGCACTCACCCCCCAGTGAAAGGTTCTCAACTCACCAAACCTCATAGAGTTTGTAAAACTTATTTAAGACATTGGTGAGGCAGATTCTGAGGCTTTTGGTGTCTGGGATAAAAGGCTAAGTATGTGTAAATTGTTCAGTGATCTTACAGCACTGCCTTTAGTGGGTAATAAAGACCCACCCAGAACATACTGTGCGGAGCTTTTCCATGATCTAAGCAGTGTTTTATCTGCACCTAAATCTCTTCAGTTTAAGAGTTTAAATCTTGATGTTCTAGAAATCTGTTGGCAGCTGTTCCCACAGATTTAAATCAAATTCAAACTATTTGATTAAAGCTATTACTAGAATTCAAGCTAAAAGAAAATAAGACCTTAGTATTATAGGACTATATTGTTGATTTTTTTTTTAATTCATTGAGATTAGTTGTTCTAAATCCTTTATTTTATTTGAACACTGGCTGGCTCTTACTTTCTACTTAAAGCTACATATTCACAAATTCTTTTCTTTAGCACCTGATGGGCATTTCATGGATTGAGGGTCACTCATCTCTAACCTCCGCATCCACCCTCCTGAAGTCTGTCCCAATCTGTCAGTGATCATGGTTGTGGCAGAAACCACGCTTTGTACACCCAAGTGTGTTTCACCTTTTCAGAAGCACTGGAAGAATAATACATCCCCATGTCACAGTTAAGGACAACATAAGGATAAGGAAACAAAACCAAGAAATGTTGCCCTCAATCACCTCCCTAGTGAGAATCGTAGGCTTTCCCTTCCACACTGCTCACCTAACAGGTAAAGGGTATTTGGCACATACCTGGATTTAGCTGACAGCTTCAGGGTGTGAAGAATATGTGTTGATTAACAACAGCAATGAAAGGTGATTAAAGTGTCTTGTTATAAAGATAATGCCTGTTTCTTATTAAAACTGTAGTTGAGCTAAAAAGAAAGTCACCTAAAATTGTAACCAGCCTATAAAGATAAGTAGTTACTGTCTAGGTGTAAATCTTTCCACAGTTTTATATGACACCATAGTACTCTTTTCATTTTTGCTAAACTCTGATGTTCTTTCTATGTACTTTTTAGCAACCAGCCTTAATATATCAAAAATACTTCTCCAGGTCCTTACATATTTGCATATTATATCATTTCTAATGGTTGCTTTCAACTAAATGGCTATATTATAATGCACTTAGCCCATTCCCTTGGTAGACATTGGGGTTGGTGACCGTCTTTGTAGCTATATCTAATCATCTGTGATGCAAGTGTTTAAATGCCAGGCACAGAATTATTAAGTGCCTCCTTATCTTCCCAAGTTAATAGGAAAAAATATTTCTATTTTTACTTTGTACTTTTTCATTACTAACAAAGTTAAACTTTTTGTTCATGGCCATAGGTATTTCTGTTTTAGCAATTTTCCTGTCTATACCTTTCACCCATTTTTTCCCTTGAAGTTCTCATTTTTTTCCAATTTCAAAAGCTCTTTATGTCAACGATATTAACATATGGCTAATGCTTTATCTGTTGGAGATTCTTCTTCAGTTTTACTTTTGGTTTTGTTTCTGGGGTTTTCTGACTATTATAGATTTTTTTTCTTCCTGATTTGATGTTTTTCTTTTGGTTTTGTTTCTGACGTCTCTTTAACTTACAGAAATTCATACAGTGAGGTGTATTAGTGTTTATCTTGATTTCTGCTATTAATATGATACTCAGAAAGGTTTTCCCTCACTCCAAAGTTAATGCAAGTTTTCATATATACTTACTTTTTCATATTATGGTTTCACTTTTTGCATTGAAATGTTACTCCATATGAAATTTATTTTGGGGCTTGGTGCCTATAGCTCAACCGGCTAAGGCGCCAGCCACGTATACCTAAGGTGGCGGGTTCAAATCCCCAGCCCGGACCCGCCAAACAACAATGACGGCTGCAACCAAAAAATAGCCGGGCGTT